AAAAAAAAAAAAAAAAAAAAAAAAAAAGGAAATTGCACGAATTCTTCGTTTTGTTGGAATCCTTATTCGTTACAAGTAATGGCAGCAGCTAGAATTCTTTTGGTTGCCTCCTCAATGTATATAAACCCAAAATGGCAACCTATAACTCGAGAGATCGAGTCGAATGCTTGGAGTGATAACGTGGGAAAGAATAAGCACCACTTAATCAGACATCTTATTAATAGAATTGGTTAGATAGTTTACCACGTTTATAGGACAACAAAAGAAAATAAAGGATCTTACTCCATTTTCATCCACACTCCAAAGACCAAAATTCTGTCCTCATTTCTGCATATTCCAATCACAAATCACAGCAAGCTCCAAATCAGTCTTCAAATTCTTCATTTTCTGATTGAATCAAGAGAACAAATGGACGAATTCTTTGGAGGGACGGATGGCAGGCTCAGAATCTCCATAACAGATTCAACCATGATGAGGATCGTTCACTGTGCGATGAACAAAGCCCACGAAAAGGTCAAGTCCAAGGAAGGCGTGATCGAGCGGCTGAACGAGATTTCCAAGTTCTATGAACTCGCGGTAATGCAGTTAGAAGGGTGCATGAAGTTTGTCCAAGAAGAGACGGATTGCTACATTCTTGAGAGCAGCCAAGAGGAGGAGGTTCTCGCGGGGTTGGTGGAGATCAGGAACCGCCTGCAGGGTCGTCTCAACGAGTCAGAGATGGTGATCATGGAGAAAGATAGGGAGCTGACAGAGAGACTAGAGAGTGAGCTGAAGCTGAGGCAGGCCTTGGAGCTTAAAGAAAGAGAGTTGGTATCTTTGCGCGCCAAAATTGAGAAGACAAGGACTAAGGATGTCGAGGATAGAGATGGCGAGTTCTGTGAGCTGAAGAATTCGGTTGATCAGCAGGTTTGGAACATCAGACAGAAGCTTGAGCCCGATTATAACAGGCTTAGAGATCAAGGTGGTATTGACAATGAAAAGGTTGAGCAGATGGGCTCTGATATTGACATTTTGAAGGAGACTTTGGATGTTGCCTTTGGGAAAATGAGTAATGCAATTTTCTTGTCTGAAGTGGCCCCAATAGAGCAGCAATGGAGATGGGGTGTTGAGAAGGACACGTTCTCCGTCTTGCTTAGAGGTCTCATGTGGGATTTGCAGGAGATGTTTGAAGGGAAAATTTGGAGACAAGAGAGGTGGGTCCCGGTTGGGTTCAGCACGTTGTGGCCAGGTTTGATGGATGATGTTGCCGGCTTGAAAAGTGAACTGAGTTCTCTCTTTGGCCAACATGAGGTAATGCAAGTGAAAAGTGACGACTTGTTACAAGAAAAGCTTAAACATGGGGAGCTTCTAGGAGAGGATAGTGAAGAGGATGGGAATCACTATGTTGCTAAGATGATAAAAAGTCATGAGTCCCTCATCCGGAAAAAGAGTGCAGAGGCAGAGGAGCTGAACTTGTTGAGGCGAGAAATTATGCGCGAAAAAATGAATTCATCTTGCAGGAGTGAAAAGGAACCGGTTAGCCTCAAGAAAAGAGTCCAAGAAGTCTTAGTGAAATTGGAAAATTTTATGGAATGGAGTGATAAGTTGAGCGAACATATTGATGATCATGAGGAGATAAATGGAGAGGAAACTCTTTCAAGAAAGAAACTCCTAAAATGTGATGCTACTGATAGAGAAGACCAGGATATAAATACTTTGGCAGATGCTTGGGAGAGCATGGATAAGGTCTGTTGTGGAGTCAATGAGGAAGCGCCGAATAAGGTTCGGAGGCTTGAGCTAGAAGTAGAAGAACTAAATTTGAAAACCAAGATAATGGAAGAGAAATACATGACACTTCTTGAAGGGCTGTCAGAAGAGCTCAACATTGAGTTATATAGTTATCAATTAGAGAGACTAACATGGGCAGGTAAATGCATAGAAGTGACAAATCAGTGGAATGAGATGACTGAAATCAACAATATTGGATCACAAATCAGAGAAGAAATAATTTGCATTGTGTCCAATGAAGCAATGAAGGACTGTTGCTCTTTTTCTGACTTGAAATCAGCCGAGTTTAATGATGTGAGGGATGATATAAATACACTCATATTCGGCAAAATGTTGAAGGAATGGAGTAAAAGCATAGAAGTTTACAATACCGATGTTCTTGTTAGGGAAGAGATAAGTCATATTATCTATGCTGAGACCATCAAAAGTATTGTTGATACCACCATTTCTGCATTAAATCAATGTGAAGAGGTCAAACTTGTCGAAAATTCTATAAAGGAGGATGTCTGTTTGGCTTTCATAGGAGAAACTATCAAGGAATGGAAGATGGACTTAGATGCATATAATGCAGAGAATCTCCTCAGGGATGAAATATATCAGTTTGTCATTTTTGAGGCTGCAAAAGTTGCGTCTGTTTCTTTTGAAGAAGCCAATGATGAAGAGAAACTCGCGGGATGCTTGTTCTGTGATAAGAAGTTGCAAGAACCTAAACAGCTGAGCACAGAAGAAAGTATGATTCAAAAGATAGATTCTTTACTAAAATGTCTAGAAGTGGAGGAACATCCAATGCTGAATGCATGCTTCAAAATTGGGAGACACGGCGTGGACCTTGATCTGGTAGGCTTAGAATGCGAAGATTTTGGAAAGAAAAAGGCGACTAGCTCGGTTAGTTTCAAGCTAGAGAAGGCTCTACAGCAGTTAGCTACGAGTAAGGAAGAGCTAGATGAAATCATATCTAGTTTAGGCTTAGAATTTGGTAATCCAAACAAGGTTCATCATAATGAAGGGACTCTTACAATGAAAAGAAAAGGAGAGAAGCACTTAGAGCCATCTGATTCTTTAGTCCCACTTATCCTGGGACTCTTCCAACTGATGGAGGATTTCCAGTGCAGAGTAAGAGAAAAGTTGGAGATTAATAACTCAAGGTATTTCACTTCTCCGTGATTTTTTTTTCTCTCTTTTTCAGTAACAAGTGACTTATAAAAATGTCTTGTGTCGTTTTGGAACATTTGTGACTGTTTGTTAACATAACTGATCATCATAGAAACAAATACTAAACGGTAATTGGATTTGATCCAGAACTTTGTTCCACTATTTTCTTTACTTCTAGATTTACCATGGTACGACAATATGGTAAAATATCATTCCTATGTTGCCACTGTTCAAATATAATTACATTTTAATATCTATTGTCTCTTTACATATTGTAAAATATTTTATGAAGTAAGCAACTAACTGTTGGACCACCTCTGCAGAATGGAAGAGATTAAACAACACTTAAATGAACTTCTTGGAATAGTTTCCACCCTACGAGAAAAGGAATCACTTTACAGGAAGGCTTTTATTAGGAGACACCAGAATCTTAAGAAGGCTGAAACTGAGGTATTTGTGCTACCTTAACGATTTTCCTATCCTCAATTTCCTTTATGTGGTTTAATACATATATATATATATATATATATTGTGTCTATATATATATGGTAACCATCCCCGACTTTGAAACTTTGGATTACCCCATTGGATTTTGACCATCTAAAAGTAATTTGACAGTTATAGATAAAATTAAGGAGTGATAAAAAAAACCTAGCAACTAAGTAGGTACACTTAATCACTAGGGTCAGCCTAATATTTACAATGAGGCACCCACATCGGTGAAAGATGACAGTCATAATCTATGTATATGTATATTGTACATATATAAGTACAAAATTTAAGAAATGTGGGGTTGTTTTTATAGGTGGATCTTCTAGGAGATCAAGTGGAAGTGCTTCTAGGCCTACTTCAGAAGATATACACAAAACTGCATCATTATTCACCAGCTTTGCAGCAATATGCTGAGGTAAGAGATATTGCATTATCCTTTTTTGTGTTTTAATGTTTTTATAGTGTCGCATATAATCTTTTATGCTATACATGTTTTTCTAATTCATTACAACCAAACTTTCTCACTCCCAATTCCTTTTCAAAAACAGTTTTTTTTTTTTTTTTTAAATAAATTAATCCAGTTGGTTTCCCTACAGGTCTCAGAACTCCTGCAGGTGATCAAGAAGGAACTGAATGGAGTCGTAAAACCACCAAAAGATTGACAGAAATATCTACAATTCCATAAAAGCTTTGAAATTTACAGTTTGTTGATGGCAAATATGTAGGAATACTCTAGAGGTAGTTATATAATTTTCTACGTAGTCAGATTAAGAGCCCGTTTAGTTTATAGATTAGAACCATGAGATTAGAATTATTTTCAATTTACGTGTATTTTTTATGAGAAAAAATATTGTAGTAAACCATGAACCATGATTCGAATAAAAGAACTAATCCTCCAACCAAACGGGCTCTAAGATGTTGAAAAGTATACTAAGATATTTGTAATTACACTAAAGTCACATGCTTTTATTTCTTTATTCTAGTAATTTTTATAGATGAACTATTTCATTCCCATAGAAATATAAAAAAAAAAAAAAATTAAAAAAAAAATCTAAAAATCTTCACAACACAAATAACCGAATTTTGTGCTCGGATAAGTGGCTGAAAAAGAAGGCCTACTATTATTGATATCCAATCACATCGCTTGTTCTACGTTCGGAACAACCATATTCCTAAAAGGAGCAGCTAATCAATTAGCTGCCCCGGCCCAGAATCTCCATAATAGATTTGACCGTTAAGGATCGTTCCCTGCGCAATGAACAAAGCCCACGAAAAGGTCAAGTTCAAGGAAAGCGTGATTTAGCGGCTGAAGGCGTGGTGGTACCGGATCCAACCTAGGCCCGGGTCCCGAAACCCGACTCTAATACCTGATACTGGCTCCGGCCTCAATCATGAAACTCCACCCAAAAACCCGCCCTGACCTAAACTTGGCTTTGACCCTGACCCGATCCCAACTTAGTTTCCAAACTCGATTCCGACTCTGGTTCTAGACCCCAACCAAAATTATTTAACAATACATAAAAGAGTCAAAAGTTCTGTCATAGCCCTTTCATTTAACTCTTTTTTGTTTTTCTTCTTTTTCTTTTTTTTTTCTTTTTTTTAATCTTTTTTAGATTTTAATTTTGTTGTGTGTTTTTTTAAAAACATGTCATTCCTCACTTTACTCTTATAAGAGTATTTTTTTTGCATGTTATTATTTTATTTTTGGTTGGTTAAAATAATTTTTTTTAAATGTGTCCCTATTTAATTTTTTTCATCAATTATTATCTTTACACATACTCTTTTTTAAAATAAATTCATAAATCCTTAAATTGTTGTATAAATGAATTTCTCATCATTTGGTAAATAATAAATTCTTAAGGTGTTTTTAACACGACAATACGTGCGGAACACATTACAAAATTAGTATCTTTTTAAAAGTTCAATATTTAATACAATAGAATGGTAAACGAATACGGTAAAATGTAAAAATGAAATTAATCCTATTTTAATATGACAAAAATCGAACAATGGGTTGTATAAAAATTATACAACATAATACAATACTACACTATAATACAATAAAATATAATACAATGCACTAATGTTAAGATCTATAAACATAGCATGCATATGTTCTCGGCGAACTAGAGAATTGTTCTCACAACTAGACTGCAAAGCAACTTTACATCTCATTCACAGAATTATCCTTCAATATATTCAATTCTGCCTTCAGAAAAGTTCAATCTACCTACAAGAATTAGTGAACTCATAAAAATCCCACGTAGGAGTATTTAGTTGACCAATTACAGCGTGTAGACTAGTATATGAAAGACCATTCATAAAAGAAAAGGTAAAAAAATTCCTAAAAATTGAAGATCATATTTAGTTGTGAAGATCCACATTTATATTCACACGTATTTTCCGCGTAGTTGAAAATGTACTATTTAACACTTGTACTCAACATTTGACAGGCACATACGTGAAGGGTCTGATCTCCGGTTTTGTTTTTGTCCCTCTCTTTTTGTAATGAGTTTAACCAAACGCAGTTCGTCTTTTTTTGTTTTGTTTTTTTTTCAGTCTATAAATTGGTCTTTGAATTAATTTAGGGGTAGTGTTAGCAAATCCAGCTGCAATCCCTATTGTTTTGATACGAACTTATGTGGTAGTGAGTTTTTATATTTTCATTAGAAAAAACAATTTTTTTATCAATAATTTAAATGACAATCTTTTAAATACTTACCAACAAAAAAAAAAAAAAATTTACATGGCACATTATGTGATATGCCATATTTCATATAAAATATAGTAATAATTTTCTCCAAATATTTCATATAAAATATAATATTCTAAAATAAATTTTTACAGTTTTCATATTTTCTCCGATATTTCTGTAAAGTTAAGTTTCCGTGTTTCAATAGATATAAATATTTTCATTGTTGGTACAAATTGGCCGATCCTCTTAATTGGCTTCCAAGTTTGATAAAGAATATCAGAGATGCTACTGCTAGGCCGGCTGCTTTGTTTTTCCATTGGGAACCAAGAAAAGCTGCAATAGGAAAGAAAAAGAAAGGCAACAATTCCTTGGTACAATTGGATAATCAGCCGTTTAATATAACCATATAGCGTTCTATACTATGTTTTACATTGATCCAAAGGCAAAACTAAATAAAAGACAGAAAACCAGTTGTTAATTACTCGGTCAATCCCAACAAATTAATATTATTTTTACACGTAGAATCTAATATAGGTATAGATTTCTCCGTCCAATTATTGCCCTTTTCCTTTCTTCTACGATTAGTTCCTCCTTATACTACACATAGTTTAGTTGGATCGAAATGGTCATTATTATTTATTACTTATGAATTTGTCACCTATCAAGTCCCACATTATATTTACATAGAATTAACTGTACTGTGATTAATCAAACCATGCGGTAATATTGATGGTACATATAAGTTTTGTCCTTTATTTTTATTTTTTTTAAAGTCTTGCCTCATATATGAGGCTGAGACTTTTATTTCCATTAATTTGAAGCTCTTGAACACATTCCAAACCCTGTTGCTCTCATGGCAAGGCTACCACAACTCGTGAGCTTCTACGCTCTTTTTCTAATATTGTTTTTCATTAATCCAGACTTTGCAATTATAACAAATGTTTCAGCTCAACCCTCACCCTCACCCTCACCCTCACCAACACCAACACCTACACCCTCACCAACACCTACACCCTCACCAACACCTACACCAACCCCGGGTGCTCCGCAGCCTTCGCCAGCTCCACTTACCCCACCAAAAGTTTCTCCTCCGGCGCCGTCACCCGGGGCTCCTAAGCCTACACCATCATCCACTCCTCCTCCACCAGTAGGCGTCCCACCAACCGCTCCTCCACCCCCAGGAAACACGTCCGGAGGAGGAGGGGGAGGGCTGAGCGGAGGACAAAAGGCGGGGATAGTGATCGGAGTGCTGGCGGGGGCGGGGCTGCTGGTGTTGGGTGGCATCATTTACAAGAAACGCGGGTCTAATGTCAGGAGAAGCCGGTATGGAAATGCAGCCAGGATACCAGCTCTTTGATTAGGCACAGTACTAGCTAATACTAATGCTTATTATGTCATATTTGTTACAAGTTTTGGAGCGTGACTTTGAGACCATATTCATTCATGGATTTATCATCTACATATATCTACTTTTTTTTTTCCCCTTTTTGAGAAAACATATATTTATCTCGGTTGTTTTTGTCTCTCTCCTTTTTATATTTTTGATATAGTATGTTATTTCCTTGTTCCTCAATAGAGAGTTATAGAAGAGTTATATACCTTTAAGTTAATTCAAAATTAGGTATACCTCCGTTTCAAATGTGTACCATCATATTACAATTAATACATAACTTCAAACCTCTATCGGTCAACGCTTGATTTTGACATGAAAATGCCCGCAATGTCCTTAAAAATAATAGAAAAAGAAAAAAACAACCAACAACCCAAAACTCAACCCCTCATCACCATCGCTCAATCTTCCTCAGATGCGGTGCCGTGAAGGCGACGATGATGGTGTCGAGCAGAACAACGTCAATCGTGTTGTCTCAAAAACCGAAGCTTCGCCACAACAAGACACGCAAGCAACGCATATACTGGCTGGCAAGGATTAAGGAATTAAAAAGAAGAAGTAAGTCCTAATTACTATATATGAGATAAAGATTCTAGAAAGAGAGAGCGGTACACAGAGGAAAAGTGATAGGTAATACTTAATAGTGAAGAGAGGGAAATCAGAGGATGAAATTGGTGGATGCCAAAGATTTGAAGGTCAAAATTAAATGGTATAGACAGTTGATGAAATAAAAAATCTAAGTTATATTTTTGAATAAACTTAAAACACAAAAGTAAAATAAATAAATAACCTAGATAGAATAATATTGTTAGGATTTTACAGTTTCTTTTGGTATTTTTTTTTAATTGAGCAGTTGCACACAAATATGATTAAGGGAAAATATATCAAATAGCATATTTCACACTTATGTTTAAGAAAATAACATATGTTCTAAAAAATAGTAAATTATAGCATCTCTATACTCTATTTAGAAATAAGTTGTTCTTTTCTACATTTACTCTTTTCTCTATGGTTTTATTCTTTTCTTCCCCACACATTTTTACAGTCACCTCTCACCATTTTCTTTCTTTCTCTCTCCTCTCTCTATTTCTCTCTCCTCTCTCTCTCTCTCTCTCTCTCTCTCTCTCTCTCTCTCTATTTCTCTCTCCTCTCCCTCGCGTTCTCTGTCTCTCCTCTCGTTGTGCTCTCTCTATCATTGCGCTTTCGGAAGTCGTGGCCGAAAAATCGTGATGGTTGCGAAGAAAGGATGACAAGAAAATGGTGAAGGTCAACAACAAGAGAAATTGGCCACTGACGACGCATCTGTACGTGGTTCCTGTGGTGGTGAAATCTCGTGACAACGAGACGTGACGGTAGATTTACAACGGAGAACTGAAGAACTCGACTCCAATCTCAGTCCCTTTGACCTCGCGAGCAATACGGATATTTTCGGTCACCATCCGACCGGATGATCTTCATCCAGATCCCGTCATCGCGAGTAGATCGGGCCAAATCTCACCGGTTTCGCAAACCAAATCCTGGAGGTCGTCGATCTAAACTAGGGTGTGTTTGGTAAGGGGATTCGTACCCTGATTCGA